GCTGGCTGAGGAACTCTGGGAGTTGAAGTCCACAAGTCTTAAAGTGGCCAAGGTTGGAGACCCCTGCTATAGCGGAAACCGCCTGCTACCGATCAGTGGTTTCGGGGTCATCCTGAACTTTGGCCCCCGGAAGTATTTATCAGCGCCCGAGTGGGAACTGCTGCTCCCGGGCAAGGAGATGCACCCAACACGAGACCCTCCGAAAACCTCCCCCGCCCCCAAGTCGGGGCACTTCCGAGTTAGACGCCGAGCGGACGCGGCAGCACTCGGCAAGGAGACGGCGAAGTCCCTCGGTTCGTGCACCCGCCCGGTTCCTGGAGTCAGCCAACGCTTACCCGCTGTCCTGCTCTCCTGTCCTGCTGCACGGCCGCTCCCCCGCCCTCGCCGCCGCCGGACCAACAACTCTACTTCTTTGCCGTTCGGCATCTTGGATCCGGCGAACGGAGGGCGGCGGAAGTGACGTTAGCGGAAACCACGACACAGCCTCCCCGCCCGTTCAGTTCTGTGGAACTGGCGTTGCTGCGGGTTATCAATAGGCGGTTCTGAGGCGGCTAGAGGGGCCCGAAGCGCGTCTCTCTAGCCTCGGCTGCTGGCGAGTAGATCCCCCGGGGTCCGCCAACAGGGAGGCGCGTCCTTGGGGAAGAACAGCTGGGGAGCCGAGTGTGTTTCTGTACCGTTGTAGGAATATTTATGTTCATGATATGTTGGTCGTATGTTATGGAATTTACACTGCTCAAAAAAAATAAAGGAAACACAAAAATAAGACACTCTAGATCTGAATGCATGAAATATCCTTATGAAATACTTCGTTCATTACAAAGTTCAATGTGCTGACAACAAAATCACACAAAAATGATCAATGGCAATCAAATTTAGCAACCCATGGAGTCTGGATTTGGAGTGACACTCAAAATTAAAATGGAAAAAAACACCACAGGCTGATCCAACTTTGATGTAATGTCCTGAAAACAAGTCAAAATGAGGCTCAGTAGTGTGTGTGGCCTCCAGGTGCCTCTATGACCTCCCTACAATGCCTGGCCTTGCTCCTGATAAGGTGGCGGATGGTCTCCTGAGGGATCTCCTCCCACACCTGGACTAAAGCATCCCCCAACTCCTGGACAGTCTGTGGTGCAACGTGGCGTTGGTGGATGGAGCGAGACATGATATCCCAGATGTGCTCAATTGGATTCAGGTCTGGGGAACAGGTGGGCCAGTCCATAGCATCAATGCCTTCGTCTTGCAGGAACTGCTGACACACTCCAGCCACATGAGGTCAAGCATTGTCTTGCATTAGGAGGAACCCAGGGCCAACCGCACCAGCATATGGTCTCACAAGGGGTCTGAGGATCTCATCTCGGTACCTAATGACAGTCAGGCTACCTCTGGCGAGCACATGGAGGGCTGTGCGGCCCCCTAAAGAAATGCCACCCCACACCATTACTGACCCACTGCCAAACCGGAGGATGTTGGAGGATGTTGCAGGCAGCAGAACGTTCTCCATGGCGTCTCCAGACCCTGTCATGTCTGTCACATGTGCTCAGTGTGAACCTGCTTTCATCTGTGAAGAGCACAGGGCGCCAGTGGCGAATTTGCCAATCTTGGTGTTCTTAGCAAATGCCAAACGTCCTGCACGGTGTTGGGCTGTAAGCACCACCCCAGCCTGTGGACGTCGGCCCTTCATACCACCCTCACGGAGTCTGTTTCTGACCTTTTGAGTAGCCACATGCACATTTGTGGCCTGCTGGAGGTCATTTTGCAGGGCTCTGGCAGTGCTCCTCCTGTCCCTCCTTGCACAAAGGCGGAGGTAGCGGTCCTGATGCTGGGTTGTTGCCCTCCTACAACGCCTGGGCATGCTCCTGATGAGGTGGCGAATGGTCTCCTGAGAGATCTTCTCCCACACCTGGACTAAAGCATCCCCCAACTCCTGGACAACCTGTGATGCCATGTGGCATTGGTGGATGGAGTGAGACATGATGTCCCAGATGTGCTCATGTGGAAAGGGAACTTCACAAAGACAGTAGTGTCACAAAAACAGGAAAAGCCCAAGGGGAACATCAGGTCAGCCATAAAACAAACTTACATAGGAAAAGGAACCAAATAAAAAAGGTATTAAAGAATCCCTATAGACAAAAGCCTAAGTAATTAAGAAAACTAGACAAATAAGAAAAGGAAACAAAAAGATAATTTAGAAAACCCTTATAAACACAGGACATACCAAATAAGCAAAACAAACAGACAAAAGACACAAAATATAAATTACAAAAGGGACAGACAGGAGATTGCCACAGAACAAATATGCAAAACTATCTTAAAGTTAAAAGAGATTAGAGAAAACCAATAATACAATCTAGCCATCCCACAGAGTTTGCCCTCCAGCGGGAATAAAGACAAACTCAAACAGGATTTGAAACATTAAGCACAAACATTGACACAAAATCAACTTACAAAGGGAGAAAAGGGTATAAAAAAACAGGGACTTACCATAAGAAGCTAGCTAGCCCAGGAACGCAGGCTTCTCGCTGTCCCCCGCCTTCCTGAAAAATAAAAAGATCCAGTTTTCAAGCAGTTGTCTGTATCCTTGTGCCGGAGCTCTCCCAGCGAGAAAATCGAATCCTCGAAAGAAAGGCATTTTGACACCAAACATTGCCCAATTCTTAGCAGATGGTCTTGTATGAAATCTGTAGTGAATTGCAGAGAATAATAACGAATAAAAAAACCATTAGAAAGCATTTCACTGAGGCTGCCGTCGACAGCACCATCTGGGATCCCATATCCAAGATAGAAGTAGCCTGCAGTACTGCATTCTAACCACTGCAGCAACTTGGCTCAAATTGCTGTGGATATAGTACACTTGGATTTCAGTAAGGTGTTTGACAAAGTTATTGGAATCTTGTCACAGCCCTTAATATTTAGGGGGTCACTCTAGATAGGGCCCTAGCATATAGGCAGAACTGTACGAACACTAAACTGAAGATCAGTAGACAAAATAAACATCTTTAGAAAATGAATGAGCTCTGCCTCTGGTGCCAAACCAGGGATTCTTAAGACAACAGCTCCAGCTCTTTGTTTCTTGGCAGGCAAATATGGCTGCCCAGTCTGGTATAAATCAGGATATGCTGGGAAGGTAGATATTGCCCTTAATGAAGCTAGCAGAATTATTACTGAATGCCTTAAACCTATCCCTCTAGATAAGATCTACACCTAGCCGGCATTGCCCCACCTGCTGTTTGCAGAGAAGAAGCAGACTACAGTATTTACAATATTTGAGAGGCTGCCACAAAGAGGATGGGGTTAATTTATTTTCCAAAGCATCAAAGGGGCAGGACAAGAAACAATGGATGTAAACCAATCAAGGAGAGAAGCAATCTGAAATTAAGTAGAAATTTCCTAACGGTGAGGACAATTAACCAGTGGAACAGCTTGTCTTCATAAGTTGTGGGATGGTGCTTCATCAGAGTTTTTAAGAAGAGACTGGACAGTCACTTGTATGAAATGGTATAGAATCTCCTGTTTGATTAGAAGATCTCCAAGGCCCCTTCCAGCTCTATTCTGATTCTGGAGATGTTGCCCAAACACCAGAAGCCAGAAAGGTCCTTCGAAGGACCTGAGGCTTCTGGGGAGACCTGCAGGAAGAAGGAGATTCACTTCAATTCTTTTTTTAAAAAGAAAAAGTTTTATTGATTTTAACAACAAACAAAAACACATAAAACATAAGACATAAAACATAAAAACATCCTCCTCCTTCATAGATTTACAAACATTGTATCGGTTGGTTTACCACCTTTTTTTGTGCATCCATTTCCTAGTCGCCATTATAGTTATATTACATAATAACGAGATTCACTTCAATTCTGTGTGAGCAAAAAAAATCACACTTAAGCAATATACATGGATGTCAGTAATTGTTCCCCATGATAACAAAGAAATGAGCTCTGAGTTAGTAAATACTATATCACTTTAAGACCGGTTGTTTTCATGCATAAGCTTCCAGCAGAGTGACACATTTCCACTCTGGCCCAGATAGAAAATCTTGAAACTGCCAAAAATGTGGAGAAATAAGCCAGGAATGACCAGGTGAAAAGACGCTTTCTCACAGAAGCAGGATCCGGGAGCAGCACTTGTCTAGAAGTGAACACATGCTCAGTTGGCAAGACAATTGGCAGAACTATGGCTGTGTACCCTGGGGGGGAAAGATCCCCGCCTAGCTTAATATCTGCCTGTTCCACATTGGGCTGCTTTGAATTGGGGCTTTCAAAGACGTGGAGACAGTGGTAGGTTTCCACCTGTCATTCACAGACATGGTCCAGTCTAGATTATTTATTTATTTAGAGAATTTATATGGCCGCCCACTCCCTTTCAGTGATTCTAGTCGGCTTACAAACAACGAAAAATCCCAATATAAAAAGAGTAAAAACAATACCCCCTTTCCCCTTTCCCTATGGCAACAATAAGCACTCAAATAAGCACTTGATGAGTTCCAGCCTGCTCTGGGTTGCCCAGGCTGGTTGGAAAAAACAGGTCTTGTAAAAGAGTATCAAAGCGGGGGCCAGCCTAATCTCTATGGGGATCACGTTCCAAAGGGAGGGAGCCATCGTGGTGAAGCCCTCCTCCTGGGTCCCACCGGTTGTATCTCATTAGGAAATGGGACAAAGAACATTCCCTGCCTCCCTGCTATAAGTTAGGTAACCAGGAAGGTTGGTCCTTCAGATAACCTGGTCCCAAGCCGTGTAGAGCTTTAAAGGACAACCAGCACCTTGACTTGCACCCCAGAAGCAAATCAGCAGCCAATGCAACTCCTGCAAGAGAGGTGACACATGTGGACACCTGGGTCTGCACAAAACCATGTGCGCCCCGGCCACTGCATTTTGAACTATTTGAAGTCTCTGGATGCTTTTGAAGGGCAACCCATGCAGAGCATAGTTGGAAGCAACCAAATTGTCTTCCTTGGGTATTTTCAAGCTGCCACACTGAAAAGTCTAAGAGCCAAGGAAGTTTCTCACAGCCATTTCTGGTTTTTTATAATGTTTTTTTTTAAAAAAACTGGTCTCTGGTTCTCTTACAGAGAATTGCACATGTTGCTTGTTGTTTAGTGGATAATCTGATGGTAGCAGCGCATTACCCCTTAGATTGGGTGTTCCTGTATCCTTAGACACTTTCAAGGTAAACAAGTTTCCAAGCAAACAGTGATTCAGTTAGCAATTCAATTGCCAATGCAGAACTATCAGTTTCTTTGGCAAAATAACCAAACCAAATGGCAACAAAGAAAAAGGCGGACTTTGATAATAATTTTTGCTCTGTAGCAAACTCACTCCAGAAATGTGACTCCATGTCTTTGTGTTTAGGATGCATTTAGGTGTAATGTAAAAAAAAAAACGGTGATCCTAACTGGATGATGAAGAGTTAATAATACTTTATCAATAGTACACAATTTACACTGTATTTCTGTGAG